TCCATGTAAAAATTAAATTATTTTTAACTTATTAAATAAATTTCTACATTTTTATGTATCAATTTTTATGTTTGTTTTTAAAATCGCCTATATAAAAATATTCATTGGATATATTAACATACTAAAAATTTTTGGAAATTTATATTATTTATATTATTAAAAATAATAAATTAATTTTACACAAATATATACATATAAATATATCTATATCATATATATATATATATATATATAAAATATTCAATTTCAATTATTATTCTATAAATTATTATTCAATATAATATTTTATTACATGTTTTTTAAATTTTATTTAAAGAAATTTCATGATTTTATTTAAAGAAAATTATAATAGTAATATAATATAATATATATTATATTAAATGTTCTATATAATATAACTTTATAATATAATATATTATATTAAATTCTATAATATAAGTGAGATTTAAATATAAATCATTTACAAATTATTATATATATAAAATAAATATAAAGAATAATTTAATATATTTTTAATTTAAATTCTTACACATAAATGTTTATAAAAGAAATATTTAATATTTTAAAAATAATTTTAAAATAAATGAAAAATATATATTAATAACAATTTATTCATATTTTTCGCAGCATAAAAAATTTATTAATCATAAAAAAACATTATTTAGTTGAATCCAAATATAAGAAAAAGAGTTTCGATTATTACTTCATTCCAAACATTTCAATTATTTTTCTTTATATAGACTGGTGTCCTCCCGGGTGAATGTTGGGCATTTAAAGGCAGTAGAGGAGATGTTGTCATACAATTACTCGGTTTTGTACACATAACTGGAGTAAGTCTGGAACATATTCCACAATCGATTTCTCCCACAGGAGAAACGAGTACCGCCCCAAAAGAATTTTCTATTTGGGTAAATTTTATATACATATTTTTTCTACTATTTTTAAAAAAATTTTCATTATTATTTAGTATTATATATTTTATTATATACATAATATTTATTATGTATATAATATTTATACATTATATTTTTTTATTTATTAAAACTATAGTCTATATTTTTAAACTTTTTTTGATACAAATCAAATGTATAATCTTTCAGTTTATTATTAAAAAAATTAAAATAATATATTGCAAATAATTGATTGTAATAAAATTAAAATAATTAAAATTAATAAATAAAAAAATTTTAATAATTATAGAAAACTTAGGCATTTTTAATATATTATTCAATAAAAATTTATAATATACAATAATTTTATATTAATAGACATAATGAATAAGTTATAAAATAAATAAAATAATATTTAAATAATAATAAATCCCTAATATTTTCAAATAATAAATATTTTCGAATAAAATAAAATAATTAGTAAAAATTTTTTATTTTTATTATTAGATAGTATATTTTGTATTTTTAGGGCTTAACGAACATAGATGATACAAATCCTTTCTTATTTGGTGAATTCATATACGATAATACTGGTCCTCCTGTACAATATTTTGAAGTTGAGGTAAAATAATATTTCTTGAATTTTTTAACTTAATGTCAATTCTATAAATTATATCATTATAATTTATAGTATTATTATAATTTATAGCATACATCGAAGAATGCATATGAAATAATTGAATTAAAAGTTCATTCCAATAGTGGTAATAATGAATACACCTGCATCTACAGAATAAGAATTCATGGTACCTTAAGCAAAGATAGTGGATAATTTTCTCTTAAATAATTATTTAATAATTATGGATCAAAAGTAGAAATTTTTGCATGGATTTCGCGATTAAAGGAACTGATAGTTGAGAATTATATTATAAGATTGACTTTGTCAATTTAATGTAATTAATATTATAATACTGATTTAAATAAGATTTTTCGTATGTAAGATATTATATACTTTATTATATAGTAAATAAAGAAATTTAATTCTCATGTTGTTATTTTCTTTTTAATATCATTATTATAAATTTATAATTAATGTAAATAA